AGAATACCTTTTCTGTCTACTAGTTCGTTGTACATAACTTTAGTTTTTGCTAAATTCATTTTTTGAGACCTACTTTATTGCTGGCTGTATTTAGTTCGGTAGTTTGTGCTTGTAGTTCTTCAGGACTAATGACAATTAGGACTACGTCATCAGCGAATCTTAGTTGGTTAAGATATTCTCTATCTATTTTTAATACTTTGTTAGTCCCATAGATTTAGGAAGAACAGATATCACATTATGCATTTTAACCCGATCAAACATTCGGAGGTTGACTACGTACTGTAAAAACCAACTGAGATAGAGAAGGCGACATTGCCACATATCAAATTTGCGCCTATCTACTTAGTTTGATTTGCAGAAAAGGTTACTTTAAAACCTTCCCCGGATATCAATAAATCTCAATTTCTTAATTAAATTGTGTTATTGTTTTAGGTTATAACGAGTGCGACACGAGCGATAGTAGGTTGTCTCTGTCGTAACGGTCGTTCCCTGACGACTCTGCCGAGAAACACAACACTGTCTTTCGTTTCTCAAGTACACCTGAACTCTCCGTATCATAGCCGGGTAATTTTTTTATTTTAATGAAGCTATAAGTAAATTAAAAATATATCGTATTTAAACGTTTTTATATTTTATTAAGATTTAGGACAGGTTTTTTACATAAAAGTTTAGAAAAAACGTCTTAGAGTCCGAAAAGGATAAACATAATAAAATACACGTTATAGAAGAAATTTTATAATCGAAATTACGTAATTTTTGAAATTAATAATAAATTATTAATTTTAGTCAAACATTTACAACCCCTAATATTAATCAAAACCGGATCTATTCCACAGATATAATAGAATCGGCGACAGGGAGAGAAAAAAAAATGATTGTTGTAATTTTTTTTCTAGTTAAGTGATGTCTTATTATGTAAATTAGAGAAAACATAAATCTGTTCCATTAAAGCAAGGAAGGTGATAGGAAGTGGATAAAATAAAAACTACATTTATTTAACTCGGTACTGTCTTTATTATACCGGGTGCGGCTCAAAAGTGGCTCATCCCCATAATTTTTTTATATTTTCAAATAAAAAAACAAGATTTAGTATGTTAGTATATGAAATAAATTAGGATTGATTGACGCATTCAATTGTTTTTGGTCACTTCCTGTGTCACCGGAAATGACTATAACTTTTAATTTTTAAACGGCACCCTCGGTATATTTCTACTTTATTCGATAGAAAATGACACTCTGAATAGAATGAAATATCATATGTCAACTTTTGACATTTTCGCATATGGTTTAATTGTAATTGTAACACGCGGTTCATAACGACAATTTGACTCGAAATACCAAGTGTGTGGTATCAATATATTCATAAAAAAATGCTTTTTCCAAATATGCTAATGAGTCACCCTTGTTCCATTTGAAAAAATTGACATATGTATGATTAAAAATACGATTTGTACATCTTTTAACCGGCCTAGACAAGACACGAAACCTATTAGACGATCAAAACTATTTTTCCAAGGCTCCTTGATTAAAGCTTAGTGGATTGAAAAAATCTGGATTGAAATTTAAAATAGGATGTTTTTAAGCGACAATGTCAAAAGTTGACATATGATATGTCATTCTATTCAGAGTGTAATTTTTTATCGAATAAAGTAGCAATATACCGATGGTGCCTTTAAAATCAAAAGATGTAATCATTTCGGTGAAACAGGAAGAGACCTAAGACAAGAATACGTCCAATAAATCCTAATTTATGTCATATACCTAACATACAAATCTGTTTTTTTATCTGAAAAAATAAAAAAAAGTTATAGGGTTGAGCCACTTTTGAGACGACCCGGTATATTAAAAAATATTGTTTCATAATGTAATATCATTTTAAAATTCTTGTATGTTATTTTAGATTCTGAAGATAATTTTAGAATAAACCGGAATATATTTTTAATAAAAACATTATTAATTATTAACAGGGTTATAATTATGATTTTGTTACAATGTAAGTAAGTAAATAATGTAATGTAAGAGAAAAAAATCAGATTTTACATTTTACTAAAATATTATCTAAATAAGCGCCTTTCTACAACAACGCCACTGACTCCCAATGGGTAAATTGAGAGTTGCCTACCGGTCAAAAGTCGTTTCAAGACTTAAATGGATTATTAAAGTCAAATTTCTTGCAAATTTGGCACTGGCGAACCATATTTTATAGTTTTTGAACAGAAAAAGTCAATAAAATAAACAATTAAGGACTACAAGCTAAGAAAATGCGTTAATACAGCCGCGGAGATAGCGGCAACAAAGCTTTACCGCACACGTGCGACACGTACTACAAGGTAATAAATGAATGAATAGGCTCCCTCGCCTCTAATCGGTGTTGTCATATTGTAAAGAACTTATCCTTATTAAACAGTATCCGACTTATAATTTAGTAGAATAAGGACTATTTAATACATCTATGGAATATTAAAACCTACTTTCCAAAAAACGATACGCCACTGGCCATTAGAACAATCCAAATGCGCCTAGTTGCCGGGGTCGGAAATTTTAGACTTCTCTGTCTCTTCTGTCCTTGTTTGACACATTGGAATGTTTGATACACTACCAACGAGTATTTATGAATGAGATGTTCGGTCTATCTTTATAATGTCTTTGGTTAGTCCAGTCCAGTTGACGGAAGATTTCTTCTAGTGTTGCTGTAAACAGCTTTGGGGATCTTGCAAGTAAAACATCTACACTGATAATATCCTCTTGAATTCAAGATCATTTGAATCTAAACTCTAGGAATATCTATTATAATTTCTTCGTATAATTTATTTTCTTAGTATTATTTTACTTTCTTTTATTATTTTGTTCACGTCCTTCTATCCTTTAATTACTCTTTTCATTTTTTTTGTTAATTTTTAGCTGTTTTAATGCTAAATTCCATATAATAAAAGAAAAACTAAACATTTATATTAAAAAAAATACTAGTTAGCAATATAAAAGCATATAGAAGTCAAAATAGAACACACACATCATATATATTAGCACTAATCCAGTTTCTAAGAAATTGCACAGTTCCAGTTCCAATATGAAATATCTAAGACCGTCAACTGCCTGCTTAATGCCGTCAGCTTTTCTTCATCTAATCCTTATTTAAATAAGGTTCAAAGGAGAGCTCATTAGTAAACAAACGCTTGATCCGCGTATGTAACGCTTTTGAAAGTCTAGTAAAGTATACTATATCTGCGAGTATTTCTCGCAATCAAAAAAATATGGAATATGCGTACATATATGGAAACAACGAAGACATAAGATCTAAAGCCGTGTTATTACGAGAGAATGCCGCTGGTAAGCCTCGATAAATCTAGTTTCTTCTATCTTAGCAGTATACGATATTTCTTATACTTTGTAGAAAGCTTTAAAATTCAGGTAGGTAGTTAGTTTTAACAACTGGAAAGTACATATTATGTTTTTTAGTATATTTTTGTTCGTTTCAAATATGGTAAGGTAGTTAGATTATTTTCAAAATTCTCATGGGATGCTATTTTTAGTTTTAACAATGTAGCAACCGGAAATACATTTTCTGAAATATTTTTAGTTATAAATTTGAAAATAGTACGAGGTTCTTTAAAAAATAGTACAAACTATTAATGTGCCCTAATTTTGAAAATAAAATTAATTTTTCTCTTAAAACCCTTCTGGTCTATTATTAAATAATAATGTAGATTGGAAGCAATTATGCAAATCTATGACAAATCACCAATTCTCTTTTTATAAACTCTTGACACTCATTTTGCCAACCAAGTTAGACCACTATCGCCAGATAGCTGCTGATAATGGATAACCATCTGCTGATAATGAATATCATGGTTAGCAAAACGTTCGTCAAGAGTTTAAAAATTTAAAAACAAAGTTTTCTGGTGTATTTAGTACAGCATGAGTGAAAAAACCGGCGTCAAGGCAGCTTGGAAATGATGACCGATGATTCCCCATCAAATTTTAAATATAAAACGAAACCAATCTTCCTTTCCAAGCCCACTGTGACGCCGATCTGCTCCGAACTAATAAAATAAATATTTAATATTAACTTATCATCTTAAATTGATATATTTGCTGTTTTATTAAAAAAAAATATTTTTGCACATTGTTTTGATGATCATAAGTATTGATAGCTTGGACACTGGACAATTTAACTGCAATTTTTAAAATAATAATAATAAATAAACAACGCTTTATTGTACAAAAAGCCAAAACGGCTTCATCGAGAAAGCACTCACAAAACAAACAAAAGCACAAAAAAATACACAATACAAATAATACAATTCAAATAAATTTAAGTCATTTCTTCATAAATTCTCTTAGTCTCTTCAGTCGTTCATAATTAAACATCAACAAAAAAGTCGTTTACCGTATATAGGGCTCTCTCCAGTAAGTATGATTTTAGAGCTTTGCGAAATGCGGGAAAGAATGAAAGCGACTTGATATTGAAAGGCAGATGATTGTACATTTTTTTGCCATTGTACAGTATTGAACCTTTAACTAGTACCTGAGCTCGGGGTTCCTAAGTGGATAGTTATGAGATGGCCTTTCGGGAATAGCAGATATGTACTTGCGGATTAAGCAAACGGATTCAAAAATGACTAAAGAAGGAAGAGTCAGTATTTTGAAATTTTTAAAGATATTCTGGCAGTCAGTTCTACTGTTCAGTCCCAATAAATATCGAACTGCTCTCTTTTGAAGTCTGAAAATACGATCAAATTTTGTTGCGCAGCAAGTACCCCAGAATGGAAGGGCATAACGAAGATGTGACTCAAAAAGGGCATAATAGGCTATTCTAGAGGTTGAGGAGTTAAGTTTCTTAGAAACTGATCTTAGCGCAAAACAGGCAGCGCTTAGTTTCTCCCATTTTAACGAGTTGTCTACAACAAGTCCTAAGAACTTCACAGAGTCTACGACGTCAATAGTGGTGTTATTAAGTAAAAATAGACAAATGAAACAAAATATTTAGAATTAATACTAACCACAACAGGTCCTCCCGTTATACTTCCTGATGCACTCAAAGATGCTCCAAACCACTGCCCACTTTTTTGGTCCATTTCTCTGTTTCCTATGTATTGGTTGCCTGAAATAAATAAAAAAATATATTAAATTAATAATTTAATCCAATTTTACAATTTAAAATACGTAATACCATCCAATTGATTCGTTTATCTCCAATGTATGATTACAAATCATAGCAAAAAATTCTTAAATCACAAAAACTTCACAATGAGTTAATTGTCTTATAATATGATCATCTCCTATATATTTACTGCTGTACTAAGTGTTCAGACATATTTTAGCATATATTATATATATGAGTGTAACGGTAAATATTGATTTTAGGAAAAAGAGTATATGTTTAAGAGTTTTAGAGTTTTGTCAGAATCAAAAAAACGCCCGAATTGTAAATTTTTTATATAAGTTGCATTTTTAGATACAATTTCCTGTATATGATTTTTCAGTTGAATAGGCAGAATTTTTTCTTATTTCAAATATACATATAATGTTTTCATTAGTGGTTTTAGATAGCTTACAAGCTTACCTTACATTTATCTATATTTTTTCAGTTTTGTTAGAGGTTTACTGTTTTGAATTCCATCAGCTGATCTGTTTAAATGTAGGTTAACGTTGACTATTTACATATCCAATAGAGGGCGCTGATTCTGAACTGTAGAAAAACTGCCATAATTTTCCGTTATTTAGGTTCATTATTTGAGTTGAGACGTTGCATTATACTTAATAGTAATCCACAATGATTAAAACATCTACAGTGAATAAAATTAATTTAAGTATTTTTTTGTAGAAATTTTAAAATGTCAACTTATAACTTATACACATACAGAATGTGGATAAAGTAGGAGGTGGCAGCATTGCATTCTCTCGAAGCACTATAAACAAATTTCCGGAAACTGAACAAGCGGCACTCAAAAGTTTTTCAATATTTTCCGGAAAATGTCAAGAAAAATATAAAATTTTCAACATTTTTTTCGCAAAAAAACGTGTTTTTGGGGTCGAACTACACTACCGATTAAAATACTTGCACTTATTTCTGGGATAGCATGTACATATAATGTTTCTTGGCTTTCTTTAGTGGTTTTAGATCATATGTAAGAAAATTTTTGGTCAGCTAGAGCTAAATTGTATAAAAAATAATTGTGATTGTATGTTTACTATACACCGTTATAAAGAATATACTACTAAAAGATTTAAAATGTATTCATCGTTTTTACTGCGCCTAGAATTTAGAATTAATTATATTTTAAATCATTGCTACTACGAATGAGATTGTTGTCTGTAGCGTAGATGTTATTGCACAATCGCTATAAAATTCTTCAAATAAATGTATCGAGTCTCGAATGTTATTTCGAGTTAATGCTAATGAGACGCAGTAGGAAGCTGCTTGGTAGTTAATGGCAACAGGAAATTATTTAATAGTCAATGATGTTTTAATTATCTGAAGTATTCTATAGTATCGCTTACCCAAACGCAATGCGATATAATACTACGGTAGAGAAGTATGCACATTCGTGTTATTCCGATTGTAGTTGTAATAGTATATATACAGGGTATCCCAATTTTTCACGAAAAATTTTTTTTGACAATTTGGGATTTATTGAAAAAATTGATTTTTTTTTAAATTTTTAGTTAAAAAACATAATTTGTTGATAATATGGAACGGATAGATAGTAGATTAGTAAAATAGGTAGTGGATTAAATTTACAAGAAAGCAATTCTAGAAAAGATCTAGCGATTCTCAAAATTTTACCAAAAAAATCATTTTTTTTGGAAATTTTCATAGTAAAATAACTCGGTTATTTTGGATTTATTTGAAAAACGGCAAAGGAAAATATGTTTCTTTTATCGAGATCTGCTAGTCCTGAAAACATTTCAACTTATTTAAGACTCACCCTGTATAGATGTAAATTGCACCCAATAAACTTATTGTGATCCCAAAAATACGTAGTAGTTTTATGTCAAAGGAATATTGGGACACACTGAATATTAAATTTAACAAGTTTTATAGTGACATTTAAATAGAGGTTATGTTCGTGTGGCGGGTTTAGTGTTAAGTTCTTTATTCTAAAAATGGGGCATTTTAAAATCAAAAAGCTATAGGATGATATATGTACATAAATACACACATGGCCAAAATTATTGCGTATATCGTTTAAAAATATACGGAAAGGAATTTATAGAATCTTTTTTTATACATAGCTTTGATAATCTGTAATAAACACTTTTATGTTAAAATGGATATGGTAAACAATGTTTATCGTTCAGACCCAAGATTATTACAAACTCTTGCACATTTCGATTTGTGCCCTCTTGGGTTTCAGAAGAAATTTGACCATTGTTTGGCCTTAAAATGCTTAGAAACATTATTTCACAGTTTAATAGAGTCAGAATAGTAACACTGTCTCAATAGGGCTACCGGCAAGTTGCAATAGCTGAAATTGTAGGGGTTAACCAAAGCGATGTTTTACGAATACTAAAAAAAATCAGGGAGACAAACGAGGTTACAGACCGGTCTGGAAGAGGTAGAAGGAGAGTTACTACTGCTGTGCAAGATCATCAAATATCCCTAATTGCACGACGCAATCCCCTGCTTTCTAGTACTGCTATTAAAAATGAGTTAGCTCGCTTTGAAGGAGTAAATGTTTCAAGAAAGACCATAGCAAGAAGACTCCATGACAGAGGATTACATTTAAGGAGGCCTATACGTGTTCCGAAGCTTAATTTACAGCACAAAATTACGCGACTACAATGGGCTGAGTAGATGAGAGCAAATTGACCTAATTGGAATTTCTTCATGTTTAATAATGAAACAAGAATAGGCCTAGTGTCAGACTCGCGACGAACTTTGGTCTGGAGAGCATCTGGAAGACGAACACGCTTGAATGCAGCTCAACCCCGTGTCCCTTGTCAAGGGGGAAGCATTATGTGGCATTATGGTGTAGGCAGATATAATGCACGGAGCTCGAACTCCTCTTGTTTTTATTGATGGCACAATGACAGGTGCCTCATATCTTAGAGACGTTTTAGAGCCTATTGTGCGTCCATTTCGAGGGGCAGTGGGGGATGAATTTGTTTACATGGACGATAATGCTTGAATGTCGAAACAAATGAATTTGTTTACATGGTCGATCCTCCCCATCGCACTTTAGCGGTTCGTGAATTTTGTGAAGAAGACGGTATAAGAAAACTGTGGTGGCCACTGATGTCTCCAGATTCCAGATTCTAGATATGGATGTGATCGAGCATGCTTGGGACTTGCTAAAACGCCATATTCTCAAAAGGAATGATCCCCCCGTAATTTAAATGAATTGAAAATTGCTGCGCGTGAAACATGGGAAGCCATTCCTCAACATCTTCTGGATAACTTAATTGAGAGCATGCCAAGTCGTCTCACAGCTTGCACTGAGGCTCGAGGAGGCAATACACACTATTAGTTGCGAGAAATAATTAAAATTGTTTTAATATTTCCTGTTTAAAATGAAATTTGTTTTTGTTGATTTTCATTCATTATGAAATATAATTATAATAACAGCCTAGTTGCACTTAGATTTTTAATTTTATATTAGTTAGTCCTGTACTAAGCCAATATGTCCAAAAATATAAAAAGAATCATATTAGGTCCAAAATAAAATAAAAATATGGTTATATGCAATAAATTTGGCCATGTGTATATTTATTGAAAATGTCTCTTCTCTTTTCTGAATAATGTCTTGTAGTAGAAAAGTTCCAGATACTATAATTTCGATATAAAAATACTTAACAAGTAAGTACTTCTGCAGTACATTGATAAGAATGTTACAATGACATTTTTCTCGATCTCTATAAGAGCAGTATTTGAATTGCAACTGGAATTCCTAGCAGACATTTACAAGACGAAAGGCACGATACACCATTCTGCAGGGTATACAACTTGTTGCTGCAAAATATTCTATGCCTCTAATAAAATTTATTTTGTTACATCTATTCAAATAGGGTCTCTTGTATTTTGCGAGATCCTAATGATAAGGCTCGAATTTAGGACACCCTGTACATTAAGCCTCAATTCAACCACAAATCTATACTAATATATAAAATCCTTAAGTGACTGGCATACTGATTAATCACGATCCTGCTCAAACCACTCAACGTAAGAAGCTCAATTTTGGCATACAGGTTGATTCTAGGGTGTAGAGGTTCGATAAGAAGGGATTTTTCGAAATTCCAGTTCCAAGAGGGTGAAACCACCCCTCAAATATTACAATATTTTTTATTTAAAAAAAGTTTCCATTTTGTTTTTTTTACATATTTTAAGATTTTTTAAAAATGATCAAATCTGGTCATTGATTAATCACTATCCTGCTTAAAGCGCTTGACGTAAAAAGCTGATTTTTGGAAAACAGATTGACTTTAAGGTGTAGAGATTCGATAAGAAGGGATTTTTCGAAACTCGAATTCTAAGGGGGTGAAACTATCCCTCAAATATTAAAATATTTTTTATTTAAAAACCGGTGAGTTTTTCGGAAAAACTCTTAAACACGTATATTTTATTTTGTTGTTTTACATATTTCAAGATTTTTTATAAATTTATACAGGGTGTTTCATAAAATATGACCATTGAGTAATCACGATTCTGCTTAAACTGCTTGACGTTTAAAGCTGATTTTTGGTAAACGGATTGACTGTGGGGTGTAGACGTTCGATAAGGAGGGGTTTTTCGAATCTCAAATTCCAAGAGGGTGAAAACGCCCCTCAAATATTACAATATTTGTTATTTAAAAAATGGTTAGTCTTTCGGGAAAACGCTTGGACAAGCATAATTTATTTGTTTTCTTACATATTTAGAATTTTTTTAAAAAATCATACAGGGTGTTCCAAAAAGTTGGGTAATTTCTTAACCACGATTCTGCTTAAACTGCTTGACGTAAAAAGCTTATTTTTAGCAAACGGATTTTTCGAAAGTCAAATTCCAACGAGATGGAACTACCCCTCAAATATTTCCAAGTTATATAATAATATCGCCATATTGTTTTTTCTCATGCTGACATAAATGTGAGAAAATTTTATCCAGTTTGTATGTTAATAAAA